GCAAAGGAGCTCAAAAGTGTGGGATCTTTTTAAAGTGTATCTTACCCCCGTGTGAAAAGATAACTCCGCCCCAAGGCGAAATTTGAAAAATGCATCAAAGTGGGTAGGGGAGGGGGTGTGGGTGGGGAAGGGGGGTTAGGGAGTGGAGGTGTGGCCAGGTGTCAGCTGCGGACATGAAAGCTCCTGCTGCGAAGCAGGAGGAAAGGAGAGAGGAAAAAGTAACTTATAGCAGCAGAGCAGGTTGGAAGATGGCTGTTTGATGTTATTTATTGTTTTTTGCCCAAATTGAGTTTGGGCTAGATTTAGGGTCAGATATGTACTGAGGTGGTTAGGTTTAGGGTCAGATATGTACTGAGGTGGTTAGGTTTAGGGTCAAGACTAGAGATCAGCAGGGCATCCTTAGGCATCTCCAGCTGAAAGACAGCAACCTAAAACAGAACAGGGAGTCTTTAAGACACCCCAAAGCCCGTCTAGCTAAATGCCTGGGTCCGACTTACTGCCAGCAAACCAAACTCTCACAGCGCTTGTATAGGGACTGAGTGGTCCATAGCAGTGGTCCCATATACTCACAGAGCACCCCCCACATTGGACCGTGTTCCTCAAGGTGCACGAGCTGGAGAAGAGCTGGTCCAGTGTTTTAGGATGTGTTGTTTCTCCTGAACCTGGAGCTTGACCAGACACTAGACTCTCTTCTCTTGAAGCCCTGAATAGACCTCACTGGGTCTATTACCCTGTTAATTACCCTGTAATTAGAGCACTTCACAGTCCCCTTTTTAAAGGAGCAAACCAGTCTTTTCAGTGGCACTGCCCCCAGTGTTCATGTAGTGTTGCAAAGGCAGGTCAGTCAAGACATTCCAGCTACATCCAGAGCTTTGAGGAACTCAGGGCTGATGTCCAAGAGAACTCTTCTTCTTTTAAACAGTTTTTACTCCAAGATGTAAAAGTTTCTGTTGTCATTAACTGGAGTAAGATAGCAGACTGTGGAGTTTCATATTTAAAAACATTAAAGAAAATAAATCAAAACTGGACTTTCAAATAGTTTGATTTGTTTGAGTTTTATTCTTCCCATCCCAGCCTCTTATCTCACATTTGGAGAACTTTTGTACTCTGTGTTTAGGAGGAACAGGGAGGGAACCTCTTCTATAAATATTTGGTTTTTGCATCACGCCGGGGCCAGATTCAGCTGGTTTAGTTTTCAGCACAGGGACTTCCCAGCTGGGTGGAGAAGGTGTAGCTGTGGGGGACGGGGAACACTCAAACCATTGCTCTGAACCATTGAACAGCCCATCATATTTTCAGAATGACTCGAGTAAAGTCAGGAAAGAATGTTGTTAAATATACAAGTTTTACCTAAAAAGACTTCATTACATTTATACCACATTAAAGAGGTTTGGTTTGTTTGAACATTTTGATGGAATTGCCTTTTATTGTCAGTAAACAGAGCACAACGGAATTACAGTTCGATACAACCCATCCCAGGTTTTCACAGTATTACACCATGCAGTCCTGTTGTTCTAAGTTTATGGTTGAATGTATTGTGTTTACAAGGATATATTTTTAAAAAGGCAAATAAGAGTGTTTGGGAAAGACAAGGTTTTGTGTGGAAAAGGTCCAAGTTCACTGCTATTACCATCATCATCAGGAACCATTTAGTCTCTTTATGATGCTCCAACATCCCTTAACAGCATCCAACACAGAGAGAAGTTGTGTTTGATCTGCAGAGAAAGCACTCTGAAAGCTGCTTCCTGCTCATTCGAGGACAGTCTACATGTCTGCCCTCAGGTTCAAACCATTTGTAATCACACTACTGTTTTTAATAAAACATTACTGTAGCTGCAGCTGCTTGTTGAATACTGTGTTTATGATTTAATGTTTGCAGCTAAATGGCATACATTTGGGAAGAATTGTGCAACACAGTGGGTGTTTTATTAGTGTTGAAGACTGTAGAAGAGAAGAGAGGGAGGACCAGAACTCGGTGGTCAAGGTCTGTGTTGTTTGGTTGACCTGGTTTTTTCCTGTGTTTCCTTCTCTGTATGGTGTAATGAATGGCTTCCTATTGGTCTGCGGCCATGGCCTCATCTTAAAGAGTATATTTATCAAGGCCCAAAATACACACTGCACCCAACCGGCCTTTAAACCCACCAAACCAGCCAGGCTTAGTCCTGGTCTCTGGCTCATTCCAACAACCCAACAGGCCAGGCTTAGTCCTGGTCTCTGGCTCATTCCAACAACCCAACAGGCCAGGCTTAGTCCTGGTCTCTGGCTCATTCCAACAACCCAACAGGCCAGGCTTAGTCCTGGTCTCTGGCTCAATCCAACAACCCAACAGGCCAGGCTTAGTCCTGGTCTCTAGATCATCCCCCAAAAACAACCAGGTTTTTTTCTAAACTTTAAATCATCCCAACAACCTGACCACATATATGCCAATCACTTTGGATGTTTACCTGAATAAACAGTGTTATGGTTATATTTATTTAACAAAGACAGAAATACATGGTCTGAGAATGAAGGCACTCTGTGGGATGATCAGCTGAGTTTTATTTGCAACAACAGGAACACAGAAGAACACAGAGAAGAACAGAGAAGAACACAGAAGAACACAGAGAAGAACAGAGAAGAACACAGAGAAGAACACAAGAACACAGAAGAACAGAGAGAAGAACACAGAAAAGAACAGAGAAGAACACAGAAGAACACAGAGAAGAACAGAAGAACACAGAGAAGAACACAGAACACAGAGAAGAACAGAGAAGAACACAGAGAAGAACAGAAGAACACAGAGAAGAACACAGAAGAACACAGAAGAACACAGAGAAGAACACAGAGAAGAACACAGAAGAACACAGAGAAGAACAGAGAAGAACACAGAGAAGAACACAGAAGAACACAGAGAAGAACAGAAGAACACAGAAGAACACAGAGAAGAACAGAGAAGAACACAGAGAAGAACACAGAAGAACACAGAGAAGAACACAGAAGAACACAGAGAAGAACAGTATTATTTCCATTACAAGAGCCTCACAAATCCATAAGATTAGTTAAATATCCGTGTAACGCTCACCTGCAGAGGGGTCTGTCGGCTGTGGAGAAGACAGCACCTGCTGTGAAGCAGGAGGAAAGAGGAGCGGAAAAACTGCAGAACTTGTTTCTGGTGGCAGAACGGGTTGGAAGATGTTAAATGATGTTTATTGTTTTTATCATCCTACAGGCTCCGACATGCTAGATAAATTTGAAAATGAGGTTTTGAAAGAATCTGTAGGACTTGGAAAAACCTGTAAGATTGCTCTATAATCCGTATACGTGCAAAATGACAATGTAAAATCCTTATAACTTATGGACAATCTGTACAACTTGATATGTTTGCAACCAGGTTTAGTACTGGTCTTTAAATCTGCCCAACAACCCAACCAAGGATAGTCCTGAACTGGATCCACAGGACTTTACATCTGTTCTATATTTTTCATGTTTCTTATAGACATGTTTTAACCAAAGCTGGAGATGAGCGATGTATCTTCATGTAGAGGCTCGTCCCTTTTAGAATGCTGAATCCTGAAAGCATTTAGTGAACAAAGACTCAGGAAGGTTTCAGACCTCAGGTCTTTGGGAGGACTGTAGATGTATTCAGATTTAATGCTGTAGTTTTTGTGGTTAAGGTCCAGGACATCCCCTGTTGTTTTGACCCTGAATGGATGTAATAAATATCATCCTGACATGGCTGAGTTTGGTGTGTCTGTCTCTGCAGGTGCTGTTCATCCTGCGCTCCTTCCAGACAGACTCACACCGACCCCTACCAACAGGAARTGGCATTAGTGAAGCCGTCCATCAGCGCATGTGGCTCGCCACCAAGTAACTCTACACACAGTCACACACGTGTTAATGTGCCCAGATAAGAATCTTGCCCCTTCTCCATTCCTTCCTCCAGCGCTTTCAGCTCCTTCTCTGGAAGAATGCCACCTTGTTTGATGTTTATCCTCTCTGCTGGCTTCGTGTCTTCTCAGGTTTTATTTAAAAAACCACCTAACCTAACTTCTCCTTTCTCTTTTTAAACCGAACTCCTTTGAGTAAGATGTTGAAAAGTTTGTGCATCTGTCTGAAGTCAGTTTTCAGATGAAGTTTCTGTGTTCAGACAGAACAACTGTTTGGTGACCAGAGGAGCCTTTTTAGACGTGTTGGTGTGTCTTTGTGGCTGCAAGACCAGCCTGCTAGAAGGTAAGTTCTCCCCGAGGGATGTTTCACCAAAGGTTAAGAAGAGTATGAAGAACATGAGCCACACATTACTCCTAGTACCAGAACAGAACCTTCAGATAAAAACACTGATGTCGTTTTTGAGGATGTCTTGTAAAAACTAATCATTTTAAAAAAACTGTGAAAAATGTCAACATTTTGTCTTTGAGCTGCTTCTTCCTGATCTGTCAGCACTCCTTTAAAGTACKGCTGTAATTATTAATCTACCATGTTCCTGGCACACACAGCCCGGTGAGGACTGTCCCTTATGGGGACAAAAGCCTGGTCCCCATCAGGGGAAATACCGTTGGTGGGTCAGGTTAGGGTTCCAAAGCACCTGGTCTAGTACAGCTATCTTTATGGGGACATTGCACTGACTTCCATTCATTTCTACAACTGCACAATAACAGCATTATTAAAAGTTTGAAGTGACTTGTTGATGGCAGCTGGCTCTGGACAACACACTGTTCTGGTTTTATTGGACTTAACTTSAGCCTTGAACACCGTGGATCACTCTGTTCTTATCAACAGACTGATCTGTTTGGTATTTCTGACTGTGTTAAACTGGTTCACCTCTTATGTATCTGAAAGATCTTTTACTGTTTTTATGAATCATGTTTACTCTGATGTTGCACTGCTGTCTTGTGGGGTACCCCAGGGTTCCGTTTTGGGCCTCTTTTTATTGTATTTATACTCTTTAGGAGATCATTTAACCCATTACAATAATGTGTCATTTCACCTGTCTGCTGATGATRAACAGTTGTTCTGTTCCTTTCAAGCCTCTGAATCTTACAAACTGTCTGACCACAGTAACGGTCAGAAATCAAAATATGGCTGAACAACAACTACCTGCAGTTAAACGCAAACAAGACTGAGACTCTGATTATTGCCCCTGATAATAAAATCCCTGTAATCTAACCCACTGTTTAGTTTTTAGTGATCTGCTGTCTGTGAAAGGTGCTATAGAAATRAAGTTTACTTACTTAAACCTAACCTGAGCTCAATTCACACCTTAGTCTTAAACCTAACCCCCGGGCAACCAATGGCATTTCCCCTCATGGGGACTAGACCCCTAAGTCCCTACAAGTAAGGCTGTAGGCTGTAGTAGGGAATACCCACCTGCTTTATACTTACACACATTCATATACGCATACACACACTCATAGTGGTAGTACGGCTGGAACAGGGAATTGAACCAGCAAACCATCCTTTACAGGAGAAGCTCCTCAAACCACTCTGCCGCAGCCACCCCACAGTTTTCATGAGAATAAATTTAAACATGAAATCTTTAGATTTGCTCCAAAACCATGAAGCTGAAAGTATTGTTGTTCAGTTTGCCACCACTAAAGTCCACCCACAGCTTGGTCAGATTGATTGAGGTTTGAAGGTTCCTTTAATATCAGTTAACGTTGAGTTTCTTCTGGTTCTCAGATGCAGAGGTCAGCGCTCTCCGTCAAAAGGCTCTTGTGGTTCTCATGGCCTCAGAACTGCTCACTTCGGACCTTTCTGCTGTCTCTGGACTGGGCAGCACTCAGTACCTGCTCAGCCTGGCCCACATGGCCCTCAGTGTCAGTGATCATAATTCTGATCTGCAGCCGAGCTCCCAGCTCCTGGAGCATCTTCTGAGATGTCCACATTACGAGGTGAGGGAGCGGGCTGTGGAGGGCCTCCTGAGCAGACTGAAGGAGGAGGACCTACAGATGAGGCCTCAGTGGCTGGAACAGACCACCATGTCCAACCTGATCCACCTTGCCCTTCATGAGAAACACCACCAGTGTTTGGCCAAGGTGAGACCCACGATCCCATTAAAGCTCTGTAGAAGTCCAGTTATCTGTGTGAGTTTTCATCTGGTCCATGGAACAGGTCCTGAGCTTTTTATGCACAGTTTGACCAAACCACAGAAACATCTGCTGCAGTAAGGTTGATGGAAAACACCAAACACGTTCACTGTCTGTGAAGGTCTTCAGGGTTTGTGAAGGTCTTCATGGTCTGTGAAGGTCTTCATGGTCCGTGAAGGTCTTCAGGGTCTGTGAAGGTCTTCAGGGTCTGTGATGGTCTTCATGGTCTGTGAAGGTCTTCATGGTCTGTGAAGTTCTTCATGGTCTGTGAAGGACTTCAAGGTCTGTGAAGGTCTTCAGGGTCTGTGAAGGTCTTCATGGTCTGTGAAGGTCTTCATGGTCTGTGAAGGTCTTCATGGTCTGTGAAGGTCTTCATGGTCTGTGAAGGTCTTCAGGGTCTGTGAAGGTCTTCATGGTCTGTGAAGGTCTTCATGGTCTGTGAAGGTCTTCAGGGTCTGTGTCTTCAGGGTCTGTGAAGGTCTTTAGAATCTGTGAAGGTCTTCAGGGTCTGTGGAGGTCTTCATGGTCTGTGAAGGTCTTCATGGTCTGTGAAGGTCTTCAGGGTCTGTGAAGGTCTTCAGGGTCTGTGGAGGTCTTCAGGGTCTGTGAAGGTCTTCATGGTCTGTGAAGGTCTTCAGGGTCTGTGGAGGTCTTCAGGGTCTGTGAAGGTCTTCATGGTCTGTGAAGGTCTTCATGGTCTGTGAAGGTCTTCAGGGTCTGCGAAGGTCTTCATGGTCTGTGAAGGTCTTCATGGTCTGTGAAGGTCTTCAGGGTCTGCGAAGGTCTTCATGGTCTGTGAAGGTCTTCATGGTCTGTGAAGGTCTTCAGGGTCTGCGAAGGTCTTCATGGTCTGTGAAGGTCTT